GAACGATTTCTTCCGTTAGAGAACTACTATCAGTACCCAGCACACGATGACGAATTTCGTCACTACTCACCCGATGTTCCCACCAGACAAGAGCAATGCTTCGAAGGCATCGGTGGTCGAATACGGAAAGCCGATTGGCATCCTCCGCTCGGAGAGACCATCTCTCGCAACCATAAAGCAAAACACCACGGACCGCGGTGATGTAGACCCTTCCCTTAATGAGCAGCCGGATGTCGCGGCGATGCCATAGGTGTCGCATGTTGGCGAAACCTGCTCTAGCTTTCGTTATTCGTGATGTGATCTCTACCCCAACCCCACCTCCAGTTGTGATTAAGCTCCCGAGGTACTCCAAGCTCTCCGCTATTTCCAGCGAATCACCACAGAGGGTGAGTGCAGGCACAGGCTCCTGCCAGTCTTGAACCAGCACTTTGCACCTTGATGGTGCAAAGCACATACCATACCTGGATACCTGGATGAAAGCGGGCAATAAGCCGTAACCCAACCTGAGGTATGAAGATAAAACACTTTGAGGATCAACACACTTCTCTGGTACACCATTCCTCAACAAACAGCTCCATAGTGCGGTCCTATCAACAGAATCGAAGGCCGCGCGAATGTTAAATAACACAATGGTAAGCATGACGGTGCTCAAGCAGCTGTCGGAGGGTAAAGATTTGATCGATGCAGCCATGACTGGCACGAAACCCAGCCTGCTCCTCACGGGTGGGTTCCTCACGCGTTTTGTATAACCTACGAAGAATGATGGATGCTAACAGCTTTGATGCTATTGGGATCAGGCTTATACCCCTACGATTGTCGCAGTCATTGCGCGGGACCTTTTTAAATATGGGGACGACAATCGACTCCTCCCCACTAGGAGGGGACCTGCTCAATGTTTCAAACTTTTGAGAACAGGAATTGGAGTTCTCTAACAAGCTTTAATCCACCATCTTTAAATAGAGCTAGGGGAAGGCCATCAGACCCGACGCTTTGTGACGTCACAAGGCTTGGATTTCATTAAGAATTTCGGCCGCAGAGGGTGGGTCTGTTGATACAGACCATGGGACTTGTGCCAAAATAGCTGTGTGAGAAGCTGACGCTGTTGGCCAGCTAAAATGTTCCTTGAAGTGCTTGCCCAGCTTTCAAGACGTCGCTGTTGATTGTGAATAAGCAAACTGTCGGCTTCATAGTTCATTTCGCTCACTCAAAGTTTTCTACCGGTGACTGGGATGAGATGAAACAGTTTACGGAGATTTCTCATGGCAGCAGTACATTCCATTTCTGATGTGTTGAGACCACCAGATTTCGCGGTCTCTGCGTAAGCTTACGTTAAGTTCATGTCTCATTACAAGCCGTGATACGTTATGCTCGCTGACGGTCGGAAGTGATCGACGTGTGTCAGGAAGGCGCAGAGACTCCGCGGAAATCCAAGTTGTCAAGACAGGGCGTGTTAAAACACAACTAACTAAACCAGCAGAATGCACAGCATTCTTTATAAGTTACCAGTGCTCACTGATGTTATCGGGTGGAGTTAGTTCTAGCTTTTCAGTTCGCGTGTTTTGAAAGATGGCTAAGCATGCTGGTTGAGACAACTTATCGCAGTCTAACCGCCGCTGTGTTGTACGTTTAGGACGTCCACCGAAGTATATGGATAGTTTGGTGCAAACCAACGCGTGATCTGATTCGAGGCTCGTGCTCCAGTCTTGTATGGAACCCCGTCATTTGTGGCTTATAGCGATGTAGACTATCTACGTTTGTGACTGATCCGAGGAGGGTGGACACCAAGTGGTGTATCGGCAGTTGGAGCGTCTGAAATTCGTACTGGTGGTCAGAACATAGAGCCAACAGCCGTTCCCCCTTTTCCGAGAGACAGGAATCTATTCCGAAAGGATCACCCAGATACACCTCACTCAAAGTCAGTCGGCCTACTCTAGCATTCATATATCTTGCTAAAATTACGATATCAGCCCGATTTGCCTTACGCAAGAGGTTGTGTAGCTTTTGGTAGAAAGTATTCCTAGTCATGCTCTTGCGTATCATATAGAGGAAAAAAATCTTGCAGAATGATAGCGATTAGCTCAATTTAAGGTCATCAACCGAAGGTAGAGAGTAGAGGATGTGTATGTGCGTGAGCGTGTGTGCGCGCGCACATACTATGAGAGTGTTTCTGCTTCTGACTTCATTGTGTCTGACATCATCTACATATTCGGATAGTGATGTTTTATTGACTGGTTGATGAAACAAAGTTTAGATGGAATGTCTAAATGATCAGAGTTTTACGAAATTCCCAAAGNCGATATTGCCTGTAATGTATTAACCAAGGACACTGAAGTATCAGAAAAAGACTCATCGTTCTCATTGAAATCGGCATTCTCTCTACTTTGTCGATTATTTATCTCACTTCCAGTACCTTTATTTTTTTATTACACACCTTCCCGCTGGAGGAGGTTGTTTCAATTGTTATCCGTATTGGCTACCGAGATAACACTGTTGGTATTCACTCAAACAGTCTTTGCTCCGGACGATTGGACGCAGTCTTCAATTAACTTGCGGTTAACTTGGGGTTGCGTAGCCGTGTGAAATCTTGTGTTGGTG